TAGTCGACTATTCTTTGACATCCCTACTATAAAGAATTATCCCCCGGTTATTTTGATATTCCCCCTCAACTCTGTTAGGGGAAGAACCCCAGAACCCCTTCTACTTTTTTAATGTCCCCTCCTATTTCAATTCTTAGGGACAACCCTGAAGTTTAACAGGTGATTTGAGATCTCTCAAAGTTCAAGGGACCTTTAAAAAAAGTTCTTGAGATAGAGGGGTTCGAGAAATTGAGAAAGAAATTTGTAATTTCAGGTCCGATCATTATGTTTACCTAAAATATTCATGTTGAAAACTCATTTGTATTTTACTGGTGACTTGAGATCTGTCAAAGTTCAAGGGACCTTTAAAAAAAGTTTTTGAGATAGAGGGGTTCGAGATATTGAGAGAGAAAGAAATTCGTAATTTCAGGTCCAATCATTATGTTTACCTAAAAATATTCATGTTGAAAACATTTGTATTTTACTGGTTTCAAACAACAAAGAAAGTGTCTTGATTATATAAGAAAAAATCTTTTAGTTTCAATAGTTATTTACTACACTCAGATAGTATTTGGTGTAAATAGCATAAATAGCACTCCCAATCTTCCCTTAGTTCACTGAGTTCTACAACTGAGTGCTTGGTATCTACTGAGTATTGAGTTTGGAATTTTGTGCAATGGTTGCCTTACTGTGATTGTGTATAGATTAATTTTAAAAGAGAAATTTTTGACATGCCTCTAAATAAAATTCTCAGAATCTTCATCTCGCTGCATGCCAAGGCAAAATCAGTCGTGAACAGCTTTCTTTTTTTTTAATTTACCAATTAACCAATTATTTCATAATCAACTCTAGGACGACACACAGGTTTAGTGTCATCTATGTGAACACCCACTTAACGTATCCATCTAGCCCCACACATTTACCTTTACCCATGTAAGTCCTAGCTGAATCAACTACACGCTTGATTGGCGTACATGTACGATCAACACTAGAGATCAAGTAAAAAATTTAATCTGTAAAAAGGGACCCAGGTCTTGGTTCGAGAGATAGAGAAGTTCTTGAGGTCAGAAGTTCAAGAGATCAGGTGTAAATCTGCTTATATATAGGGGGTAAAAACGGGACTGGGGTTTTACTTCAAGAGATCAAGAACTTTGAGAGATCAGAGTTCGAGCCATCGAGTCAGCTGCAAAGCAATTCATGCAGGGTTCAACATTAACTTTTCTGGGCATAAGTCCAGCTGGACTAGTGCTTCTTTACTGTTACAAGTCCACAGGTGTTTTATTAGTCCATCAAAAAATGATCCATACAGTTAAGTGCTAAAATGACTTGCCTAATTGCCTAACTAGCTGCCAACAAGCTATGAAGCTAAAAATACTTTGTGGTTTTTCCAGTAAAAGTTCTGGAGAATCTGGAATCGTTAACTTATTCAGACTATTAACAGGATTTTTTTTGTTCTATTCAGACTAATTAGGCAAAGATTTTATTAGTCCAAATGAAAATGTATTAATCTCAGACTAAGGTTATATGTCGAACCCTGCAACTTGTGTGCTATATATTTTAATAATATTACCATATTGATGGTAATTTCCACCAATGCCTGAAAGTATTACCATGTGTGAACATGATGAAAGCACTGAGAGATTTTCAAATTAACAAGCAAAAAGGTTAAGGCATGTTATTAATGATTAAGTCATTTAGTCTTTTAGAAAAGGCATGTTACAGATTAATGCTTCATATATGTTAAATGTTTTTAATACCAGAGAGCTATATTCTTTAAGTTAGAATGTCCAACAAGAAGCTGGTAGGTCCTTCAAATTTCAAGAATCTGCAGAATGTTATGTCCTTCAGATCATAAAATAGAATTTTATAACATTTTCCTTGACATCACAGACAAGGTACGGTTTCAATACAAATCTTGCCCTGTCTTTTGTTAAAAATAAAAGTGATGTAAAAATTAAAACTCATGCTTTTTGAATCATTTAATTTCCATGCAGAAAGATTACACCAATCATTTTTCTCACATGAGCTTCTAAATGCTAACTGTGACGTCATAAACTTGTGCATATTCCCGTATTTTCTTAAAAAGTTGCAGAAGACACCAATTTTCAATGGAATTTTCTTTCAGATAATATTGTCCATAGGCATTGCCCACAAAGATTTTGAAATATGTTATTTTTCAAAGAATTTTACACAACATATCCAAAAATTAAAGTGGGCGACGGCTGTGGACACTATTTTCTTAGGGAAAATAACCTTGAAATTGGTCATTTTGAGGCTTTATCTGTTTAAAATAGAGAAAAGTATCAAAATAATCATGTAATATTTCTAGAATGGTACTCATTCATGCCATATTCTTTCTTGATTCATCACTGTCATATACTCAACTAATATTTAAGCCAGTTTCATGCCTTTTTGATAACATTAAATTTTTAGGGCACAATAAACAGGGTTAGACAAATAGAATTTTTCAGTACTTGCCCTCGGACAGGTTACCATCGTAAAATTACTTGTCCTACCAAAAAATATGCTTGTCCCACCTTTTTCTTAATTAACACAAAATTAAAGCATTATCGTTAAAAATTAAATTATTTCTCAAATGATACACTAAATGGGGACCAAACTAGACACAAAATCACTTAATTTTTCCATGGAAAAATTTAGGGGTAAGTCTTGTTCCAGGGAGATTTCTTAGCTTGTGCAGTGTGCATATTTTAAACTTTTCTCTGTATTACTTTATCATCCCAAAAATACTCAAAGAGAAAAAAAAATGAAGACGTCAAATCATTTGATGAATGAATTTCAAGCATTAGAATTAAAGTTTATATTCTTAACTTACAATTTCTCAACTGAAAAAATTATTTCATATCCTGCATAATATGCATACATGATCACAGTTCATTATTTTAGTAGTAAAATTTTACATTTAAGATTCAGATTTCTTTCCGTATATTCGGGGTATTAGTAAAGTCAAAGTTTCAGTCTATTTTCTTCAAAATTCTTTAATGAGGTATTCCCTTTTTTTATTATTCAAAAATAATGTGTATTTATTTAATTGAAAACAAAAATATATAAAGTATTTGATTATGAAAACCACCACTGCATGCCGATTGTGACTTTCAGTGATCGCCAGTTAACAACTCCAATTTTAATATCAGTATAAAACGTTTGTATTCACGAATTTTTACATTATTTTTTACAATACCTAAAAAGGTCTAAAATCCTCTTCAACTTTTTGACATGGATTCGATAGCTGCTATGTTTTACGTCTTGTGCATATTTTAACTACACATGAATGGGTAAATTCTAGAGGAGTTCCGAACGAGTATTCCAAGCAGTGAAAAACAGGTGCTCTACTGTGATTCATTACATTTCAACAGCGATAAAACAAACAACATTTGATTTTTTGTTAACTGGAGAAGCACTTGTCCGCGGGCAGGTACCACTTATCAAATAACTTGCCCGCCAAACAAAATTGGTTGTCCCGGGCGTCGGGCACTGCTATTTGTCTAGCCCTGAATAAAGCTAAAAACGTAGATTCTTCTTTATGAGCTACACGTACACTGTACGTCACATTCACAATTTATAGTTTTAAACTCGGTTCAAATTTCTAAAATTATATTAGAAATAAACTTGCAATGACATGTGACTTAATAGTGTGTTTTCCCTTTTTTTCACCTCATTAAACAATTTTTTTTATGGCCTAAATTCATAAGGCCAAACAATAAAATATATGTGGTTCCGGTTACACTTCCAAAAAAATTAGGGTAGGTAGGTAGGGATTTTTTTTTTTTTTTTTTTTTTTTTTTAACAAAATGATTTTCTCAATTTTTTCTAAATAATACCTATCACTGCTTTGCAAATGGCATTTAGATGTGATGTGATAATATACTAGTCAATATTAGTAGGGAACACCTACATGCTAGCTTGTTTTGGACTTAATGCTATTAAACACTTGCACTATGTTTTGCAAGGAGGCTGTCATTGCCTAAACTAAAACTTAAACCGGAGCCATTGATGGAAATTGGGGAAAATTCCGGAAAAAATATGAAAATTGCCAAAAAAAGTTTAGGGTCGGGGTATAAAATAGGGAAGGTCGGGTAACCGGAACCACACATATTTTTTTATTTGGCCTAACCTGAAATGCTTATAAGTAATGGTATATTATTAAAAAAAAAAAAACAAACAAATCGAAATCCCTAACCACCAGTGACTACTGTAATGCACTAATCCTGTTTTTTTGTTCTCCAAGTGTTCCATAGAAATACAAGAAAATATGTTAAATATTTCCTTTACTAAATACTTGTCATTGAACAAATTGGCTTAAGGGCAGATAAAAACTCTTAAAGTTTTGTTATACATGTATAATAGGGCTGTCACGAGTACCTGAAATAACCAAGAACCGCGGTCCATGTTGTTCGGTTCGGTTCCGGTTCCATTTTTCCGGATTTCGGTTCGGGTCTGGTTTATATATTAGAGTCTGTTCAATACAAAAAATGGCGTCGAAATCAAAGGAATGATGACGATAACAGTGATAAATTAACATCACAACTGAAATCTACTTCATTCCATGACAAAACACTTGTCAAGGAAGTATTAGATAATTATCAAAATGAGCAGGAATGGTCAGGTTGTGGCTAATAGTAGGCCAAGTCACCGATGTCTAGAGGTTCGCATGGTTCAGACTTGTTTCCAATGTAAATTTAATGTAACAAATAAAGATTTTTCAAGTTAAATTCATGAAATTAAGGGTTAAAATAGATGTAAATACCCGACCCGAAAAACCCGAATCCGAACCAAAAATTTACGGAACCGACCCGACCCGAAAAATTTTGGAACCGTGACAGCCCTAATGTATAAGTAAATAATTTTGCACTTAAAGTCTTGTGAAAATACCTTAAAATCTATATATGCAAGAGTGGATCAAGTGACTGTTTCATGAAGCACACGGGACAGTTAGATTATTCTAAGTATTTGCATGGCCCCCAGCTAAGAAACCAGCTTGATTGCCAAAATGGACTTACACTGAGATCATGAAGATACTTCCAGCTGTTACTAGTGTCGATGGCATTGGCATATTCAGTCAAATTCATGATGTTCTGAAACAAATCAGATAGGCAGTTATTATTTAATAATTAAAATTTATTGACTGGGTTCAAGGGCAGCATGCATTTTGTCAAACCCAAAAACCAAACTGCTTGCCTGAGACTGTTAGGCAAACAGTTCGGGTCAAAGGGTCAACAAAACGCATTTGCCCGAGAACACAGTCAATAAATGTTTTACTTTTTATTTTGACATTTTGTGCTGGCATCCATGTTTGCAGTAACTGATGTTAATTGGTAAATGTTGAACACCAACCAATGCAAAAAAGATATGTAGCTGATCCCACCTACAATGTGATGTAAAAAACGTTGTAGCGGTCCAATATCTCACTCAGTGGTCCAACATCTTTTTTTTATTGCTAAGTAAAACACAGGATTGAGGAAATGGAAGATTTTTTTTAGTTTAGATTTATATATATCGGAGAAATTTTTAAAGACATAACAATGATGTCCAAACTTCAGAAAAAGTGAAATACAAAATGAAATTGAAACTGATAAAAGAAGAAGTTTGAAGTATGTTGATTGATTGTAGAATGTAGCCACAGTTCATCAGCATGATCAGAGAACTCTAGAGAACCCTCATCTAATGATTTTTACATTTTTGTATTCAAATATATTTATGTTTTTTATGGCATGTCAAACGTTGCAATATTCGATCTTTTCCATTTGCATTGTATAATTTTCCATTTGTATTGTATAATTTTTATTTGTATTGTATAATTTTCTATTTGTATTGTATAATTTTTCATTTGTATTGTATAATTTTTATTTGTATTGTATAATTTTCTATTTGTATTGTATAATTTTTCATTTGTATTGTATAATTTTTATTTGTATTCTATAATTTTCTATTTGTATTGTATAATTTTCATTTGTATTGTATAATTTTTATTTGTATTGTATAATTTTCCATTTGCATTGTATAATTTCTTATTTGTATTGTAAAATTTCTTATTTGTATGCGATAATTTTTCATTTGTATTGTATCCGCGGACTGTTTATTTGTTTCGTTACGAAGGATTTCATTGGTCAAGTTTCAGCCTGTATCGGGTTGAAGATGTTCCGGATGCTCAAAGCAAACTGGGCTCATATTATTTGCTTGATTGATTGATTGGTTATTGTTTAACGCCGAGTCGGCAATATTTCAGCCATATTTCGGCGGCATATGTATTTGCGTGCATGTTAGATGGTCATTTGATTCTAAAAAGGGAGCGCTGGTAGATGGCAAATAAATAATCTGTCCTTAGAAATGCTGACTGAGAAAATAAATAAATTGACCTTGAGTGGTGGTAACTACCCCCACCCCCAAAAAACTGAGTTTTCGGGTTTGGGCGGATTTTCTTCTTCTTGTTTTTCTCCTTGTCTCTGGTCATATTGGAAATAAATATTCTCTCCTGCGAGAGAATGAAAATAAATAATCGGATTCGACACCCCCCGAGAATCAAATGGTCGTCCCTTAGCATGCACCGGAAATAGAGGAGCCGAGTTTGTGTTTGTAGAGAGTGCGCGATCGGAATTGAGGGAAGGGTACCAGACTAAGTTTGTGATGGGCACCTGAGACCTTTATACAGGCTAAATTTATGACCAATGACATCCTTCGTAACGAAATAAATAAACAATCCTCGGATACAATACAAATGAAAAATTATCGCATATAAATAAGAAATTATACAATACAAATAAGAAATTATACAATGCAAATGGAAAATATAGAATACAAATGAAAAATTATACAATACAAATGATTTTTTTTACAACACAAATGGAAAATATAGAATACAAATAAACATTATACAATCCAAATGGAAAATTATACAATACAAATAAAAATTATACAATACAAATGGAAAGTTATACAATACAAATGGAAAAGATCGAATATTGCAACGTTTGACATGCCATAGTTTTTCTAATATTCAATTTATAATATAAAACAAAACAATTTAAGATAAAATTTTTAAAAATGTATTTTCAGGGGTTGAAATATAAGGTAGCCAGATGTCTGGGGCTAATTGTTTTTAGACTCAGGCTAGCTAATTTAAATGTAAAGATAGTTTGTTGGACTAGCAGACCAGAAAAAAAAATTATCATCATTTTATTTTTGTTTTCTGACTGGTTTCTGTTGACTGAAACCTTTGTTTTTGTCACTAAAGCATTTGAAACTTGTGTTATGCTTTCATTTGCATAAAAAATTGTTGAGATTGCAGTTTGGTCTTGTAATTTTTTACTGATCAGTAGCCCCTGGGCTAGTGTGTTTTCCAGGAAATTTTCAACCCCTGATTTTGCATGCCTTGTGCTTAACATTGTCGAAATCTCTCAAGAGTTTATCATACTTTTTGTGACTACTTTGCACCAGATTGAATGACTAAGAGTCCTTCATGATTTAAAAGATAAAATCCAAATAAAAAATAACATTAAGAAAAAACTACTTTTGTAATATACAAATGGAGCCCTTTTCATGTTTTGATCTTTTATAAGATCATCCTCACAAGCCAGGGGTCCTGAGTCAAAACGTTGCCATTGGACCATGTGGACCCCTGGCATGTAGCGACGTCTTTCGGAAAAATTACAAATCTTGATTGTTTTTTTTATCTCTCAACCAATCACATTAAGCAATTTTATGATTAACAACTTGTAACACGTGCATTTGCGGTGTCAACAACTATTTATGAAAGCTTTAGTTTGATTGGTGCCTCTCAATGAGTGAAGCAAGCCCACGACTATTGAATGAAATATGCCAGGGGTCCAACGACAACGTGTTGACTCAGGACCTCTGGCTTGCGAGGATGTTGTAAGATGTTCTCTTGTTTCATTTATGGTAGGTCTAATAATTGATCTGTGACTAAATTTTTCGGCTACCAAGATTCTTCTTGGCCCTTTGACATTTCTACATATTTTAGTACATACCCTGTGTACAGAAAAAATTCAAAATCCCTCCATTAGATTTGGTGGTAAATTTTAAAAATTTTGATAGATAACACTAATCACCGCACTTACTGTAGTCTTGTTCATCAAGACGCTTCGACTCTATCGCGCTCGTTTTGACCTCGTTTTTGTGTGTGAAAGACAAGCGTCTTGATGATCGAGACTAGAATTACTGGTGCTACTGGAGATCGGAATACCCCTGAAAATACCAAAATTCTCAACCTAGTTTCGGACCATACATGTGATTCTTCCGGCGGGAGACAAAATCTCCCGATATTTCACCCCCCTTCCGCCCCTCCCGATTAATTTTTAAATCTTCCGTGTTTTAAAATTCTTCAAATTAAATATTATTTGCAATATTTTTTTGATCGTGTTTCATATAATTGCTCAGAATGAAAAGAAATTGAGATAACAACGCCAGTGCAATAAATTTTCACAGCGGTAGGCTTCGTAGGAATCAACATGAGGTCATATAGGCCTAATTATGTTGTAAAAATTAGTGATACATCAACTTGATAAAAGACCATTGATGTTTATTACTGAATGCAAAACATTGTAATTAGTTGCTAAAATACACAGTTGCCATCTTCTAATGCTGCTTTGGTCATTAAAAGATACAGTTATAATGTAGGTCACACTTAAGTTAAAAATAGATCACACTACAGGGTGTTGCTAAAATATACCTGACTCTAATTTGTTTATTTTTTTAGAGGGTACTTTTTTCATCTGTACATATTCTATTTAAAAACAAATTACTGACATGCATAGAATTTGTAACATAAAACCTAGCTATGTTTTAATGATGCTGTTAACTCTTAATTAATTTACTAGGAAATGAGTTGATTTCATTTTGAATTCTCAATTTCACTTCATTTGAATAAAAACTTTATCATATTTTTCTTAAAACTAAACAACAACTTTATAAAATAAAATTTGTAAAGAATAAACTGGGAGAAGGTATTTTTTCCTGAATTTTGGGGGTTGGATGGTCTTTTGCGATTTGAAAAAATGTCGATAAAAAATCTCCAGCTTTGAGACCCAAACTCCAGCTGAAAAATTTCAAATCTCCAGTTGTGATTTTTCAGTTCTGTCACATGTATGGTTTCCTTCCTAATATTTTTCAGATAGAATTATGTTTATTTTTCAACTGTTAAAAAAAATCACTCAGTCACTTATATTTTCACCTTTGTATTCATTTAAATAAGACCTATGTGAATTGAGCGACTTATGCACAATGTATGAATGTTCAAAAACAAACAAACAAGCAAAAAAAAAAAAAAAACAACAACAAATAAATGAAATTAATTAATTTTTTTTTATTAAAATCTTTTTTCGTTCAACAATCAAAACAGAGCAAACAAACAAAATTTTAAGTAAGTCTATAGATATAGTCGTTTTATTTTAATCTTTTATATCCTATACAATCAGGGGCGTATATACACATAGGTAACGGGACGTTTCGCCCCCTATTGACGGTTCGCGCCGAGACCATTCGCCCCTAAAGACCTTTCGCGCCTAATTTAATCTACAGTGTCTATAACGATATATTACGATGTTTTAAGATAAATATTTATACATAAGGTTAATATTGATTTTATCAAAAAAAATGTTTTAAAGTTACTAAAAAAGTTTTCATGCTTAAATTGTTGAAAATAGGCTTATACCATAATTAAATGTATAATTATCCATGTGCAGATATAATTATGTTTATTCAGCAATCATAATTCTCTGATTCAGTTTTGTAATTAAGGTGTTATAACTATAATTTGGAGACTCTCCATGTCAAGATAAAGAGGAGAATTAAAATTATGAGACGGGTGTCAAGTTCATTTTACCGTTGCTCTATAGGATGCACACTGACTCCAATTTTCTTTGTGATTTTGAGTAATGCTATATAAGTACTTATCAAAAATATACTTCTCAACAGGAGCTCATAAAAAAAAAATCAGGTCTGACAATTTCTTTTTTTTTTTTAATTTTAGTATGGTTATGGGCGGGGGAGGTTGGGGGGGGGGGGGGTATGTAGCTTGATATAGAGATAGATTGTCAGTTTTCATTCTCTACAGGTGTATTTTGGTATGCATCATCTATTAATATTTCCCCCATACAGGCAAAATTATCTCAATCAGGTCTTTAGAGTGTCGCGTCTTTAGTATATTGATTGAACCAATGGACTGGATTAATATAACACAGTAAAAAAGTTATTAAGAAGTTAATAATTGCTGTTAACAATTGATATTTACCGCATAATTAATTAATTGATCTTCGGCGCGAACCGTGGGGGCGAAACGTCTCAGCGCGAATGGTCTTTTGGGGCGAACCGTCCCGCCCTGATGTAGTGGTATGATCGACTCCTGGCTGTCTGTATTGGTGAATTTCGTAAAGTAAATATAACTGTAAAATCTTCTAAAATTACATGTACATGTATCTTTTTTTTCCTTAAAGGTCATAGGAAACGATTCTTAACACTAGGATTTCACTTTTTAAACCTAAAGCTATATATGAAAGAATGTTAAATTACGAGTAGTAATATTTTTTGGCCTTTGTTCTACTGAAAAATAAAGATGAAAACTTTTCCACTTGTTAGTTTTCTTACCCGCTTATCGTTCTTGATTTTGTGTTTTATGACGTCACAAGAGCCCACTGATGTAAACAGAGCATTAGACTAATGTATTTCTACCATATTTTATCTAGTTAATTTAAGCTATTTTTGTAAATATAAATGTGTCTATGTTTTCGGGTGAGTTATCTGATTTCGTAGTTCATGCAGTCAATTCAGTTTGAGCGAGTCGTTAATAAGGCACGGCAACTCAAAACTGGGGCTTTTTATCGGAGGATGATCCTGATGAATATCCTATATAAAATTACGCTTAAATTAAGCTACAACTTCGATTACTTACTTTACATCAAACCTTTAGAAACAAAAAAATATTTCCCTGTTTAATACACATATACGACATACCAAGAGGATTTCATCGTCATTCAAAAAAGTTATTAAGTCTTTTTTATTCCAAGAAAAATCGCATAATTCAACATAGAATAGAGCAATTTATTAAACAGTTAAAAGTGACCTTTTCTGCTTAGAATAAAAATTTTGATTAAGCCTATAATATTCTGTTAAAGAAAGATATATGACACGTATGTGGGGAATATCCCTAACGTGAATCCCCAAAATAAACACTGGGTCCATGCAGTGGTATTGAAATCCATGATAACAGGATAAGCGCGAGCCACTGAAATTGTCAGCGTTTTGAAGTTTCGTTTTCCCCGATCTGAAACACACATATTGCTGTTAAAACGATACAGCAATAGAATCCCTGAGTTTATGACATGATCGTATTCTTCTAAAAATATATATATATATATATATATATATATATATATATATATAAAGAAGAAATGTTGAGCCCAGAGCAAATGAGATTGTTACGATGCCGATACTTTGTGCAGTCACGGTTTGACTCGACAATATCGATTTTTGAAATACTCGGTATGTAGTAGTAAACAGTACAGTCCGTGATCAGTTTGCAAATCCATCCATCATTTGCGAGACTACAATTTTAATATTAATGTTCTTTTTAACAGGTAATAAAACTTTTGAAATTATATCCTTTACAGAAAAAATCCCCCCGTAAATATGATATACACTGGAAATACAAATAGGTTTATATACGATGATAAGTACTGATCTTTGATAAATATTTTAACAAATTGATGGGAAAGATACCTACCTTTTTTGGGGTATTTTGTGTATTAAATTTTACTAAATCAAAAAAAAAAAAAAAAAAATGTCGATTTCTAATTCATTCAATATCTACATTTGGTAGAATCCTTATTCTTCATAGAAATATTTCCACATGTTAGAGCTGCCTTTTTTTTTTAATACATAGGTCTATATGTTTAAACGGCGTTTGTACTAACTCGCATATATACAAGTTTACGTTTAGTTTTTGCAAGAGTTGTTTTTAACCCATCTGCAGTGTGTTTAAAAAATGACACGATTAAGAACTTTAAAGAACTTTCAATTACAAAAACAAAGAAATAACAAGGGGGAGGGGGGCGTCAGAGAACTGGTATTGTTGGTGATGTTGTACAGTAAGTGATTTAAAGACTGTGTCAAATGATAAGAATTGATTAAATTGTATAAAATAGTAACACAAGAATTTTTTTTTCTTGTTTTTTTTTAAGCCGTGTGATGCTACACAGCAGGTGCGTATAGTGTCATCATATACTGATACTGACACTAAAGTGTTGGACTCTGTGTGAAAGTAAAACTATGTTGTAAATAAATGATTTCATTAAAACAACTGCCCTGGTTATGAAAAATGAATTCAATCTCATTCTCCCTCTCCCTTCTTTCTCTCTTCCGATCGCTTTATTTTTCTCTCAATAGATCGAAGTGTTAAACGATGAAAATGATCACATTTTGACTGATAAAACATGCAAACATCTTGCAAATATGCAATGGAATTTTTAAAAAGGAATACTGGCCTGTTTGAAGATCGTATATTTATACAAGGTTTTAGCCATGATTATGATATTCTTTAAAATTAAGCTGCAAAATGACATGATAGTTTGTAAACATTGCGTAGCTTTGAACAGCGACTGGGCCTTACTGACGTCATATGCTAAGGGAGATAAGCAACGTTAGTCAAAGTGAATTTTCACGACTGAGTAATTTTGATCGACTGTGCTGTAGCTATCTTGCGTAAAAAATCCAAAAAACAATTTCAATCTTATTTTACCAGCTCAGATGAACTTATTCCAGTATGTAACTCAATATGTTCAGGTAATTGTCTCCTATGACCTTTAAGGTTAAACTAAACACATTCCAGTCATTCTACAAAAACATGCCCATTTAAGATTTTTTTTTATGTCGCTTACAAATTTACCGTTGTACTAACTTAACTATAAATTTAAAGATCGATTTAATTCAACTCTTAGACTTAACATACATCCATGGTTTTGTAAATATTTACCGATATATATGCAGTTAAAGTTTTGATATAAACATAATGTAATGTTGAAAAACGT